CAACTGCTGGTCCCATTATTTTAAAAAATTTGCTACCGGGTGTGGAAAGCAGCCCATCTGAAAACATGCGATTAAAACATGTGGCCTGAAGACACAGGCAGATATGCCCTTCCTAAGCTACTCGAGCAGGGCTACTGAGAAGCGTCTACATAGGAAAGCAGCACCTGCCTGCTGTCAATGGCTGTCTTCCTGTTATTGTCAATCCCAGTATCTCCATACTGCCCAGTATCAAGCTAAAGGAAGTCACAAATCTTTATCAGATTATGCCCCAAAAGGATCAGAGAAATTGTATGGTGCCAGTCATTTTCACATCCTCAGATGATTTACATCCAAAAACAACTGGTTTTGCATCCCAATTTCTCCTCCCTTATTCTCTTGGCATTCCACTTCCTTCTTCCCCATTCCTTTTACACCCCATTTTCCCCTTCCCCCATTCTCTGCCCTTTAAAAGAATAAACCTGAGGCTGGTTCTGGTGGCAATTTCTCCATCAGAGAAGCTGTGCCCACCTGATCCTCGCTCTTCTATACCGGTGTGTCTTTGTGTGTTTTGCTATTGCGTCTATTTCTAATCCATGGCCTTCCCCACTCAGAGAAACGTGTTCGTGCTGAGCTGGTCCAGGCACAGGGAATCCATACTCACCAGAAGAGAAAAAGAGGAAATGTGAGAAAGCAAGCTACCAGGTCCAGGACTCTAACCATGACCAGCCATATGGGGGTCCAGCACCCCAACCACTGCACCACTGCTGGCCCCACATTACTGATTTTTAAAATCAGAATCATTTTATTTACTTTAATTATTTTAATTTGACCAGAGAGAGAGAGCGAGAAAGTGAGAAAGAGAGTGAAAAAGCAAGTTGCTAGGTCCCAGACTCAAACCCCGGTCAGCCATGTGGGAATGTCCAGTGCCTTAACCTCCACACTACCTGCCTGCCCCACTGATTTTTTTTTTTTTTGAGAGGTTTTTGCTATAGGGCACGTGCGCTCGCCAGACAGACAGAGAGAGACAGAGAGACAGAAAGCGAGAAATCACCCCCCAGGGGCATGGCCACACCACAATCCCTTCTCCTCCATTCTCCCCTTGGGATCTTGGCCACACGTGCCTGGCCTAAGTTTAAGTCACCGGGTTCGGGACTCGAAGTGCAGTCAACTACATGGGAGTCCAACTATGTAGCCATTACACCATCTGCTGGTCCTAATGCCCCACTGATTTTTAAACTTTATTTCTTTTCTTTTCTTTTTTTTTGGAGAGGTTTTTTGCTATAGGGCACGTGCGCTCGCCAGACAGACAGAGAGAGACAGAGAGACAGAAAGCGAGAAATCACCTCCCGGGGGGTGGGAGGATGGCCACGCCACGCCGCAATCCCTTCTCCATTCTCCTCTCGGGATCTTGGGCACGCACGCACACGCGCCCGGAGTGAGTTTAAGCCACCGGGTCCGGGACTCGAACCGCGGCTGACTACGGGGGAGTCCATTACGCCAACTGCTGGTCCCAACTTTATTTCTTCTACGAGCGCGAGAGTGCATAAGAGATAGCATTTACAGCCTCCGCCAGTCCTGAATCACGGAGGAGCATGTGCCCAGCATACTCAGGAAGGTCTCTCGAGTTGAAGTAGGAGCTTCCCACATGGGATTGCCTCACAGAACATATTTTACTCTTGTGCCATCATCTGGCCATGGGTTAGTGCCTTGCTTTGTTTTGTTTTGTTTCAGGTTTTTGCCAAGGGGCACATGTGCTTGCCAGTGAAAGGGAAAATTGAGAAATCACCCTCCTCCCTCGGAGGGGGGATGGCCATGCTTCAGTTTTCCTCCTGAGATTTTGGACATGCACACATACAGGCCCTGAGTAAGTTTCAAACCACCAGGTCTGTGACTGGAACCATGGTCAGCCACATGGGAGTTCAGCACCTTAACCACCATGCCAGGTGGCTGGCCCCAGTTATTGCTTTTTAAAAATTAATGAATAAGGAATTTTAGAAAGCCCACCGTCTGTTGTCATTACTAGTTAGTAAAAGAACAGACATTTAAACCCAAAATATCAGAAAGGCCATAAGCTCAGATAAAAGGACAGTCCTGCATATGAACGGACAGTTGAACACTGCATACATGCTTCATATGTATATAAATATATATATAATTTTCACATTAATAACATTTATATAATTCTCCCTTATCAATAAGGTGATCAAAGCTCAGCTTTACTGATTAAATCAGAGCCAGACACACGGTCTTGTCCACAGATGCCTGATTTGGGAAGTATTAGGAGTGAGAGTGGTGAGAGCTCGTGAGTAACGCTGCCTTCCCAGACAGAAGTTAACTGGCCTCGATCCTGCTGTCCACAGGGATTGAAAAGAACTCACTTGGGAACCAGCAGTTAGCGTAATGGCTATGTCGCTGCACTCCCACGTAGTCGACCGCGGTTCGCGTCCCGGGTCCAGTGGCTTAAAACTCACGCTGGGCGCGTGTGCGTGTGCCCAAGATCCCGAGAGGAGAATGGAGGAGAAGGGATTGCGGCGTGACCATCCCCCCTGGGGGGGTGATTTCTCGCTTTCTGTCTCTATGTCTCTCTCTGTCTGTCTGGCGAGCGCATGCACCCTATAGCAAAAACCTCTCAAAAAAAAAAAAAAAAAAAAGAAAAGAACCCACTCGCTGGATCAGTACCCCCAGTCAAGTCCCGAGGCTGTGCTGGTCTATTCCAGTCAAGTGCTGAGTGTAAGAGAGCAGCCGTGACGGGGCTGCACACGTGTCTAAGTTTACAGTCACCCACTGTCACCTGCCATGACTCATCTGGCTTTCACAGGAGGCAAACAGGTGAACCGAATGGGACTATGGAAGGAACCACCGCCCCACGTCTTTTCATTTTTGAAGAGGCTGCATGCCTTACCGGAGAGAGACAGACAGAAAAGAAGGAAAAAGCACCTCCCAGTAGTGTGGTTACACCTCACCCTCAATCCTTTTCCTCGCTCTATCTTGTCAAGATCTGGAGCACATGTGCATGTATGTCTGCTGTGTCTGTCAAGCTGCCAGGGTGGGATCCAAGCCACACGGTCAGCCATGTGGGATTTGGTTGCCTTAACCACTAGACTACCAGGCCAGTCTTAGCCAGGATATTTAAATCCCTAACTCTTTCATTTCTTCATCCCTTTGCTCAGATGTTACCTTATTCATTAATTTGTGTCCTCCGAGAGGTAGACATGGAGGAGACAGGATTAAATCTGTTTTAGGGGAAATGCCTCTATGAGAGAAAAACAGAAAGGGAGCCTAGGAGAATTGGGAGGAGCATTAGGCCCTGATGCAAATTTGATCCTAAGGGAAGGAGAAAAGAAGGGAAGGTTGGTCGAAAGTGTCCTAGATTGCCAGATAGTCTAAGGAAAGTGCAGCAAGGCCATTGTGGGGTCCTGAAGCCACAAGTGGCCATCAGGAGTCTGTGTGTCCCAGAATCAGGTTTGCCTTAGTGTCTGTCCCAGCCTTGTTCAGTTTTATTGTAGAAGCAGCCTAAGGAAAACCAGGCCTCAGTGAAAACAGAGGGCCAGCAGACTTCACGGCCCAGCAGACTAGTGATCTCAGAGCCTTGATGAATTGCACTCCCTGTAGTTGGAGACCTTCATGGAGCAGCCGGGACGCTTATTTTTCCATATCTTATCTGTGAAGTCTTCCTGAACACCCTCTATAAAACAGCCCTGCAGAATGGTAACACCTTAACCACAGTTCATCACAGAACAGTAAAAACAGGTTTCACACACCGAATGCCAGGGATATTCCACGGCAACCAGATAATTTGATCTAGTCTTTGAATAGATTAAAAATCCCACCACACCAAGCAATATAAAGAGAGTGAGACAGGGGCTAGCAGGCAGCAGAGTGGTTAGGGGGCTGGTCTCCTCCATGGCTGACTGCGGTTTGAGACCCAGACCTGGCAGCTTGCTTTCTCACTTTCTCTCTGACGAGCGCACGTGCCCTATAATTAAACACTTTTAAAAAATAATTTAACAATATATTTAAATAAAGTTAAATAATTCTAAAAAACAAAAAAGAGTGAGATTCAGGAAGCAAGGGAGGAAAAAGAGTTTGTTCTCATTATTTGGGAACCCCTATCTTGGGTCATGATGGGCTACAAGGGGTCCTACAGGCCATACCATCAAACCTTTTATTTAATTGAAAAATCTTTTCATGTATTTGGTTTTTTTTTTTTTAATAGAAGTTTTTGCTATAGGGCGCTGTCCGCTCGCCAGGCAGAGAGAGAGACAGAGAGATAGAAAGCGAGAAATCACCCCCCAGGGGATATGGCCACGCCGCAATCCCTTCTACTCCATGTGCCTGGCGTGAGTTTAAGCCACTGGGTCCGGGATGCGAACCGCGGTCGACTATGTGGGAGTCCAGCGACATAGCCATTACACTAACTGCTGGTCCCCATGTATTTGTCTTAACGTTCTCATTTTAGAGGTAAGATCCACAGGAAGGGACACCTCCCCACCACCTGGTAGCAAGTCTTTCGCAGGGCCAGGACTGGAACCCGGATCCTAACTCTGGCCTCTTTATTCACGAAGGCCTGTCTTGTTCCCGGCTGCATACCAAACTCTAGAACCGCTAAGTCGGTGAGAACAGTCTGAATGAACTTTAAATTCCTGTCTTGGAGAAGGCAGGAGGTGCCTGGGTCTTAGGATCCAGTAGGAATTTGCAGGTATCTGGAGGGACCGGATGACGGTGGGAAAGGCGAGGCAGGCAGGCAGGCTTGAAAGAGACTCAACAATGGGGCTGTCGGTCCCAGGCACAGTGAAGGGCACCGGCGAGGGCGCCCTGGAGAGGGCGGCAGGAATCCTAGAGCCACCGGAGTAAGAGCTCGCTGCGGCCAGAGAACGGGCTTAAGTGGCCGGGAGCGGGGAGGCCAGGGAGAGGTGACGAGGGACAGTAGAAAGGGGGCAACATAGGAGAAGAGAAAGCGCGACACTGAGGGAGACTAGACTCCCTGCTGATGGACAGGGAGCGCGGCGGTCCGTCTTTACCTCCTGCAGCCAAAGCTGCCCTCAGCGTCTTTGCCTTCAGCCAGTAACAAACATGGCCGCGACTAGGAGCGCTTCCGCCGAAGCGTAGGGTCAAGGGTCACGCAAGATGGCGGCCCCCGGTAGGCGTGAGGCGTGAAGCGCAGTATGGCTCCGGCGGCGCTGGCGGCGGCGGCGGCTCGGTGGGGGCGGCGGCT